CCGCTCAACACCGAAACTGACAGAGCTTAACTTCTGCGGTTCATGAAATGCAGCAGTACAGCAAATGCTCTCCCCTGTCCCATCCTAGATGATATTAATGCATAAACCTTGGGTGGGACCTCGGGACACAGACCTCAGGACACACAACCCCGGACATGCCCCGGACATGCCCCGGACATGCCCCGGACATGCCCCGGACATCCCGGACACCACCCCGGACACCACTCCGGACATCCCGGACACCCCCTCCGGAACATCCCGAACACAACCCCGTCCCCCCCCCCGAAACTCCTGACATAACCCCGGACACCCAGGACTCCCTACGGCCCTACGGCTTTGGCCCACAACTTTTTTGTTTGTGGGTTGTCTGAGAGCAGATTGTTCACAGGTAAATCGATACATCCCTTTGCAAGCTTCAAAAGTGAAGCTTGGCTGACAGGGAACCCGGTGACACTGTGCACAGTAACACCCTGAGAAACCCGACCTCAACAGTAAGCACGAGTGTGTACCCAAACCGCTTCTCCAGAGCCTACAGCTTCAGATACTGCTGAGGTCTGTACTTGTCCTAGTCCTAAGGCTCTGCTCTCAGACGCTGATCCCACTATTCTCCCGCACGTCTTGGTGTCAGTTGTATCTTCCAGGATTCGGAAAAAGGCAAGAATGGGTTAGCTGCAAAAGCAGCAGCCCACAGTGTAGCTGCCAAGCAGCACCCCTGCCAAAGGGATAGCTGCGAAGCAGCACCCTTGCCGATGGGTTAGCTGCAAAAGCAGCAGCCCACAGGATAGCACCCCTGCCGAAGGGATAGCTGCGAAGCAGCACCCCTGCCGAAAACAACTGTTAAAAACCGCACCCCGATGAGATGGGGTTGCGGGGAGCAGGCAAGTGGGTAGCCAACAGTGGCAGCCACGAAGCCAAGGTGAATGATCCATAAGGTCACAGGTTAGCAGCAGAAGCTGCAGCCTGGACGCAGTTCACCTCTCGCGGATCCACTTCAGCAGCTGGCCGGTTCTTTTGGACTCCAGAACAAACAATTCGTGGGCAGCACGACTCCCCTCCCAGGGCGGCATGTCACACACCAGCCATCCCGCTCAACTGCCGTGAGGAACTCTTCTGCACGCATCCGCTCCAGGTGCTGCAGCATCTCGGCCGTCGTGTTGCCGGCTAGCTTCACGGGGAACCCCAAGTAGATCTCCTTGCCTTCGCAGCAGATGCGCAATTCGGGCAAGCCCCAGTCAGTGGACATCGAGAGGCGGCCGGAGTCCCCGGCCATCTGGTAAAAGTACAACTGCCAGATCTCTTGCAGCTCCTTGCTCGAGGGTCGTGCCACGGAACGCAGTGGCACCGGCAGGATCTGGTCCAGCTGCTGCAAGAAGGGCCTGGCCACATTGTCTCTGGTGACCACCGCACACGAATACTTCTGGCTGCTCCTCAGCAGCATCTGCTCCACCCACTTCTTTTGCTCGCTGTAATACTCGTGCCGGGTCACATCCCGGGTAAAGCCTTCCATCGGCGTTGGTGGGAGCAGAAGGGGCACTGTCATCTCATCCTCTGGCTCCGTTGCGCAGTTGATGATTTCATCGGGAAGCGGGTTCTCCTTGAGGTGCTTCAAACAGATTGACCACCAAGGCGGGGGTCTCGGCAGCTGCCTGGCTGTTCGGATGATCAAGCTTGGCCTTCTTGTTCGAACCCCTCACTGTCGCCTTCGCGGCCAGCTTGTCCCGCTTCTTCACCTCCTTCTTGCAGTCTGAGGTGAATTCGCGGAAGTTTTTAATCTGCTGCTTCGTGTCCAACACTGCCTGGCAGTGCTTGCCAAGGTGCCACTCCTTCATGTAGGCTGCCAGATCCTTCTCCATTGACACCATGGCTTCGATGTCAAGGCTTTCGTCACCAGCCTTGGTGTTCCATTCTGCGATGGACTCCTCCATGGCAGTCTCCAGGTCCTTGATCTTGCCATTCAGCACTTTCGTCTTTTCCTCGGCTTCTCTCTTCACGGGGACGTCTGACATGCACAAAGCATTCGTCAAGTCCTTGCACAAGGTGTCTGCTGTGGCCTTCTGACGCTTCAACAGCTCGGACATCGAAGCATTTGCCTTGTGGATAGCGTTGGTGAGGCTGAGCTTTGCCACTGCCAAGGAGGGAAGCTGGGTTGCTTGCTTCTCCTTCAACTCTTTCCTCTTTTGATCAGCTTTCTCCTTGAGTGCCAAGGCTTGCTGCTGAAATTCAGCAGCTCTGTTCTCAGCAACTTCCTTCTCTTGCTCCAAATCTCGTCGCACCGCGACGGCCGGAACGTAGGCCTGCTTGCCCTGCTGCTCTGACAGAAGCCGCTCTGTTTGGAGCTTGTCAGAAGCACGTTTCATGCGAGGTCCGATTTCCTCTTCGAAACCATCAAGCTGCTCGCCATCGCAAGGTCAGTCCGCTGCCGCACGGATGCTGCAACGGTATGGCGGTCCACGACATTTTCCAGACCTCCGTTGTTGACCCGGAGGCAGAGTTCCCCGTTGATCTCCTTGGTCACAACGTCCGGATCTGTGCAGCGCTGCTCGTAGGCTACCATAGCATCCTCCAAGGTACTGTACTGCTTCAGGATCATTTCCCGTGCGCACCAGTCGCGGGGGGTCATGTATCGTGAGCCGCTGCAATCTTCGTTCCCAGTCCGGCGAGTCTCTTCCAAGGCCCCCACTGCCGTTGCGAAGGTCCTGCGGCTTTTCTTTGACTCGGTTGCCCGCTTCCGTTTCTCTTGGCGGTACCACTGGGCACGCTCCGAGGAACCCATCTTGGCCACGCTTCCCCTCAGGGCCTCAGCGCTTTTTCGAGCTTTCTTGGCCTCCTCGCTTTCTTTGGCTTCTTCGGCAGAGCCCTTCTTCGGTGCTTTAGCCATCCGAGAGAGGCACCGGTCTGTGGACGAACAGCAGGAGCAGATCCGCCTCAAGCAGTTCCTTCCAGTTGGGTAGCTCGTCAAGATGCTTGTCTCTTCCTCACACCTGATGCACATGATGCTCTGAGGCATCTCCTGTTCCGGGGCATCTGTCATGCTTGCTGCGGGGCAGGGGAGCACGAGTGTGGGAGCTGAGGGGCTTGTGGAGCCAAACAAATCGCTGCAAGACACAAAAACAAGAACCCTGAGTTCAATGGCTGTCATCAGGGAACTACCCGGCAAGCTTACTCAGCGAACACAGAAGGGTTATCGGAAGACTGTTTTGCACTATTCTCAAGCTTGCTGTGTGCACACACACACACACACACATCTGCTCATCCACCTACCATCCTAGCAGGTCCTATCTACGAACAGGCAGACCGCCACCATGGCAACCGACACCGCTTAGAATCGCTAGTCGGAATCCGAGAGGTGGATCGCTTCTTTTGGCAGGTTCAAGTGAGGTGGGAAACGCAGCTTGCGCTGAGCATTCTCTGGCATGTCTCGCCCTGAGCTAGTAGAACGCCTCCGTCTGTCGCCAACCTTGCTTCCGGAGCTTTGTGCTGGCTCAGATTCGTTCTTGGAGCTCTTGCTGGCTGGCGAGAGCCAGTTTTTGGATGAAGCTTTGGCTTTAGCCAAACACTCGAAGAGGTGTGTTGCTTTCTCACTCAGGACGAGTGGACTCTGTGGCGCAGCATCATCAACGTCCATGCCCGGATCATCATCCGAAAAAAGCTCGTCAACCAGTCGCTCAAGCTCTAGCTCCAAGTCATCGGACTGGTGACGTGGTAAGTCCTGGGTGCTGCCTCCTGGCTGGTGACGTGGTAAGTCCTGGGTGCTGCCTTCTGGCTGGTGACGTGGTAAGTCCTGGGTGCCATCTAAACCAGCTGTGTTGGTGTCACGAGGCAGAGTCTTTGGGGCTTCCTCTTCAGCTGAAGCCTCCGGCTTTGTGCTGGTGTCACGAGGCAGAGTCTTTGGGGCTTCCTCTTCAGCTGAAGCCTCCGGCTTTGTGCTGGTGTCACGGTCACGAGGCAGAGTCTTTGGGGCTTCCTCTTCAGCTGAAGCCTCTGGCTTTGTGCTGGTGTCACGAGGCAGAGTCTTTGGGGCTTCCTCTTCAGCTGAAGCCTCTGGCTTTGCGCTGGTGTCACGAGGCAGAGTCTTTGGAGCTTCCTCTTCAGTTGGAGCCCTTGGCTTTCGAACCCTGTTGGCCTTGGGGTTGCGAGTCTTTGGGGTTACCTCTTCAGTTGAAACCTTTGGCTTTGTAGCTGTTTTGGCCTTCGGGGTTCGGGGCTTTGGGCTTGCCTCTTCAGTTGAAGCCTTCGGCTTTGCACTGCTTTTGGCCCTCGGTTTTCGAGTCTTTTGTGTTGCCTCTTCAACTGCAGCCTTTGGTTTGGAACCTTTTGTGGCCCTTGGCCTCGGGGTCTCTTCAAGGATACAAGCTGCTGATGTACCCGGTGGCTTCGTGTGCGGCAGAAGCTCCACTGCGCAGGCTTTGCAACGGTTGCCTGCAGTGAGCACGCCAGAGTTGACCGCTGCCTCCACGAGCGGCGAGGCAACAGCGGCCAGCTGCACTGGCGAGAGAGCGTTCCCGATCGCATGCAGGGCATGGGTGTCTCTCGAGAACAAGGCCGCGTGGCTTGCACGCTGCCCCAGAGCGCTGTACCGCTCAGCGATGCTGAGCCACCTGTGCAGTCGCATGACCTGCCATGGCCTCGACAAGTCCTCGCAACTCAGAAGAAACAAAGGTGGCCCCGTAGTCCTCAGTGATGGGATCTTGCCCCACCCCCACTTCCCGCCGAAAGTTCTCAAGGGGTTTCGGTCGAGCTCCACAACAACCGTGTTCGAGGGCAGCGGCTTGCCTTGGGCACGATGCTCTTCGATGCACTGAGATATGGTCTGCTTGTACAATGTGAGGTTAGCAGCGTGCCCTGCACACAAACTCTGCACATCGGTCGCAGCCAAGCTCAAATCCAAAATCTCTTCCAGTGTGACTGCCGGGAGCAGATCCGTGCAGCACAGGGGGGCAGGGAGGAACGCCTGCATGGGGTCTGGCAGGCAGTCTCTCCTTAGCCCTCTGATGAAAAAACGACCTCTCTTGACTGGCAGAAACTCCGCAGCATCCTTTTTCACGGTGTCTACCAAAAAATATGGCAGTGACACTTCAAGTCTCAAGAGCATCTCATTCAGAAACTCAGCATGGTTGGCATCAGCCAAATGTGAGCTGTTTTCCAGAATGAAAAACAGAAGACAGCCACGCGACCCTTCCTCACATATCATGCTTACAACTGATTCAAAAACATCTGTGCGGCCTTTTTCGTCCTGGGCGCCCTGCCTTAAACCTGTGGAGGCAAAAGGCTGACAAGGGGGCCCGCTTATCAAGCCTTCCGCACTTGACAGTTTTGACAGCACGACATTCCTCTCGATGTCCCCTTCTTGCAAACCCAGTTTGACTTCCGAAGTCCCCTGCAAACCCTGGTTTCGCAGCGCTCGCCAAAACGGCACCAAGTCCATGTTGAAATCGTAGGCTGCGCATGGCCTGTAAACAAGCCCTGCTTTCTGCATCCACTCTCGATAAGCAGAGATGCCTACACAGGGCTCAGCAACCACAGGTGCACGCCCCAGCTTTGAGCTCCAAGGACTCATCGCATACAGGAGCTTCGCTGCCCCAGTCTCCATCATGCTGAGGCTGCAACCCACTAAAAACAAAAGCTTGGCTTGAGAAAGAAAAGAAATCAGGATGATGGCTCCGGCTGTCTACGCTATTCTTGGAACTGGCTTTGCTCACTCTCAGTGACAAACTCAGGACTGATGTAAACATTTCCACCCACGGAAAAAAGACAAGCAATCATGCAATGCAGTCTCTCAGTCAGGCAATTGGGTGGCACAGTCTACCCTTGCAATGCACTTGTTTCCATTTCCATGCAAGGCCTTGAGACAGGCAATCATGCAATCTCTGAGTCATGCAATTCGGCGACAGCATTCCACCGCAAACTCTTATTGTCGGCGACAGCATTCCACCGCAGACTCTTATTGTCGGCGACAGCATTCCACCGCAAACTCTTATTGTCGGGCTGACCCGAAAAAAAACCGCACTCAGATTCTGGACCCTTCCTTCCACCATTGCCACCACCAAGTGGTCCCATCATCTGTCTCCATTCGTTGACCCTTCCTTCCACCATTGCCACCACCAAATGGTCCCATCATCCGTCTCCATTCGTTTCCAGCACCACTTCCAAATGATAGTCGCGACCCTTTCCCCTCGCGGGGATCTGGATCGCTCGGATCGCTCCTGTGTGCGGCGGGTGATCACACTAGTGATCACACTGCTGCCCGCCTGCGGCTGGGTCGCATCAGTGATCACACTGCTGCCCGCCTGCGGCTGGGTCGCATCGGTCTCATGCACTGGAGAGTCACCTCGTTTGCGTTTGCCAGGCATACCCCTGGCGCTTTTTTTCTTTGCTGCTAACACAAACAAAGCCTCGAGAGATATCGGCTGCTGTGCAAAGAGTTTAGAGGACGCAAAGGACATCATGAGACGTGGGCGGGACCGGGGCTGGGCGGAACTCGGGCGGGACAAGGGTGGGACATGGCGGGACGTGGGCGGGACATGGCGGGACATGGGCGGGACATGGCGGGACATGGGCGGGACATGGCGGGACATTGGCGGGACATGGGCGGGACACGGGCGGGACATGGGCGGGACATGGCGGGACACGGGCGGGACATGGGCGGGACATGGGCGGGACATGGCGGGACACGGGCGGGACATGGCGGGACACGGCGGGACATGGCGGGACACGGGCGGGACATGGCGGGACACGGGCGGGACATGGCGGGACATGGGCGGGACATGGCGGGACATTGGCGGGACATGGGCGGGACACCCAAAACGGCCCCAGACACCCTCGGGCCCCGCCCCGGACACCTTTCCCGGGCCCCGCCCCGGACATCCCGGACACAACCCCGGACATCCCGGACACGACCCCGGACATCCCGGACACGACCCCGGACATCCCGGACACGACCCGGACACGACCCCGGACACCCCGAACACGAGACCCCCAAACAGGTGCTAAATCCCCTGCAAACGCCCTCCACAGCCCTCCCAGTGCCCCCAAAGCCCCCCCCGAAGACCCCCAGCGCCGCCCCCTTGAGAATTCACTGTGTTTTCTGTGTTCTGTCCTCTTGTGGCCTTAAAACCCTTTATGAGTTCAACATGCCCGGCAAAAACAAAACTGCAACGCTTCAGTAGTTGTTTTGCAACAAACGCTCGACCGTGATGATTCCTGGTTGTAGTTTTTTCTGGCTGTGCACTTGACCACACGCCCCGCCAGCCTGCTGAGAACGAATCTTTTTTGGCACGACTGTGCTCGGCAGTGCTTGGTGAGTGGAACACTGGAGCTACTTCCGACTTGGCCTTTTCAGCTTCAGTTGTGCTTGGTGCCTAAGGGTTCAGGTTTCCGGCTAAAAGCTTAAAAGCTGTAGTAGCTGTATTTTGCTTGGTGCCTAAGGGTTCAGGTTTCCGGTTTCCGGCTAAAAGCTTAAAAGCTGTAGTAGCTGTAGCTTTGCTTGGGGCCTGAAGGCTTTCGTGAGCTAAGGGCGGGTGAAGGCCAGTCGGGCTCCTACCCTACGGCCTGGCTCTACGGCCTAGCTACCGCGGCCTAGCCTCCTCTGCGAGAGCCGAATCTTAGGGCTCTGGGTCCAGGATCGCACGGATCTTAGGACACCAGGCCCAGGATTCTTCCTCTCGCCCAAAAATCTTCGATGTTAGGACTACTGCTGCTGCATGTCCAGCATCTTCGTGGTGGCATCGAAAAAGGCCAGCATCATCTGGGGGATCTGAGGGCTCTGGCTCTGACCCGCCACCATGGCCCGATCCCTTGGCGATGATTTGCTGCGGCCTAGCTGCCCTGTCGGCTCCTTCCGCGAATCGCGCCCACGGCGGCCGGAGCTTGCCGCAGGCTCGCTCGCCCGCCCTGCGGCTGCGGGAGCGGCCCGAGAAGCGTCGGTCCATGTGCTCGCTGCCGCGGGAGCTCTTGCGGCTCCCTCGAGAGCTTGCCTGGCCGCCGCCTTTGCGGCTCCCCCGAGAGCTTGCCTGGCCGCCGCCTCGAGAGCTTGCCTGGCCACGGCTCTGGCGGCTCTCACCACGGCTTCTCCGCCGCCCACGGCTGCCATCATCATCTCGGCTCTCTTCACGCCGCGGGCCACGTCTGTGCGGCGGCTCCTCCACACGCCCCCTGCTCCGCAGCTGCACCGGCGGCCTGTGTTGGCTCATGCTAGCCGCCCGGTCCTCCTTTGATGGCTGCTTCTTCCGCTTATTGTGCATGGCCTGCAAGCATTCCTTAGCCTCGTCGGAGTTCGGGTGCGTGCCCAGGCAGTGCTGCAGCATGTCCCACCTGCGCATGAACTGCCGTGAGCAGTGTCTGCACTGGCACGCACCCGAGCTCGCCTGCTCTTCCGCAGGCTTTTGGCCGGCCACATTTTGGCCGGCGGCGTGGAGCCGCCACTGGCGGCAGTATTCGCTGTTCTCCAGGTGGCTTTGCAGGCCTTCTTTCTTCACACACATCCAGCAGTGCTCGCAGCGAACGACATCTGCCTCGTCCGCTGAGTGCCGGCTGCGGTTCTTCCTCGCAGGCCGCGCTGCAGGCTCGCCCTCCGCCGCCTCCGCCTCCTTGTCTTCCTTGGGCTCCTTGGCCTTGCCGCTCTCGTTCTCGTCGGCCTGGGCCTCGTGTGCCTGCTTGGCCTCCTTGGCAGCGGGGGCTGCACGGGGCTTTTCTTTCTTGCTGGAGGACTCACTGTTGCCTCCGCTGGAAGAGCTGCTCTCCTTCTTCTTCTTGCGCTTCTGAGCAGCCTCCTCCTTTTTGCCACCCTTTTCTTCTTTCTTCTTCTCCTGGTCGTGGTCCACCACCACGATATCATCCTTCCGCGACTGGGAGTCCGGCTCCTTGTCCTCGTCCTTCTTAGCCGCCTCCTCCTCCTCAGACTCCTCGTCGTCATCCTCGCTGCTTAGGTCCACCTGGCCAGGATTTTTTTTCGGCGCCGGCATTGCTGCAGCCCCCGAGGGGTTAGCAGCAACACCGCCACCTGTGGCTGCACCGTGGGCTGCACCCGTGCCAGCAAAAGGGGCCGCCGCCGCCGGCGGATGCGGCGGCAACAGCGCAGGCGGCCGGTGTGGGAGCTGCGCCTCGCCCCACTGGTTGTAGACCACCGGCACCCACCTGCGAGCAATTTTTTTTAAGGTGTTGGGGGTTTTGCTTTGCTTTTGAGAGGCTAATCTGTTCCAACAGACACCTGCAACTGCAACCTGGCTTGCTGCTACACCTATAGCGGGGACGCTAAACTGACTACTGTGCATCCTGTAGCTCCAGGGTAGCTTCGTGCAGCCCACAGACCAGGTAGCGTGCCGATCCATAGTGCAGCCTGGGAAATGGGTTAGCGTCGAAAACGCAGCCCGAAACCCAGGTGAGCACACGGTGGCCGCATCTGGCTCTGTGAGTTAGCAAGCTTCTTACTCTAGGGGCTTAAGGACTGCCTGGGTTTCAAAGCTTTGTAACTTTACAGGTTTCTCACCGCAAAGCTTTCGAGACTCGACTACACTTCTCCCTGCCGGCCTTCCGTAGTGGGAGAAATGCCAATGCATTGGCCCCTGCACAGCCCAAAGGAGCCGAAAGGGGCTGCGGGCAGTCACACATGCACGGGCAGTCACACATGCACACAGTGACCGAGGTACTCTTGCAGCAAACGGAAGCAGCACAGTCAGCCAACACGTGTCCTGCATCCAAACAATGCAACAAACTAAAAAAAAACCCTCAAACGTTCACTCTGACTGCCGTGTGTTGCATCAAGCGATCCGGAGCATCATGGCATCCACCTGCTCTTCACTTGGCTTGTCCGCAATGTGAGCTTCAGCTCTGCGGTGGTGAGCTGCTCGCATTTGCCAAGCAAGCAAAAAGGCAGCAGCCCGCCTGCGGCTGCCATGATGCCGTACAAACGTGTACAAGCGGCAGCCGCTGTGTGTCTCGCAAGCAACGAATGCTCGGAGCTGACCGCTGGAGTGTGTGAAATTGTCAAAATGCACTACCTGTGTCCTACCGCCTCCCAAGTCGATTTCTAGAGGAGCGACACGTCTACCACCGCTGGCCATGCTTGGCTGCGGCTCTTCTGCTTGCATGAGCTTTTCAGGCAGCTCTTGCACAAGCTCTTCTAACTCGGCATCATCAGCCTCTGGGTCAAGCTCCAGACCTGTAGCCGCATCTCTTGTCAAGCTGCGGCCAGCAGGTCTTTTTTTCTTCTGCGCGAACCGAGCATTGATTTCCTCTGCAGAAGCATCCCGCAAGCTGCTGAGATCGTCCTGATCCACCAAGAACTCATAATACTGCTGGGGGCCTTTCAAGTAAATGCCCGACAAGTTGCCGGGCTTTTCCCATATAAGCCGACTCAGCATCAAAGCTCTGAGGAAGGGGAGGCTGCAAACTAGAACGTCATCTGGAAGACGTTTCTCTCCCTGCTTGCGATGCCACGCTTCCCGGCCCAGCCCTGGCTCCCAGCCCAAGACAAACAACAAACGAATTAACTCCAACTTTGATCGGCCTGGCATCTGGCCTCGAGTCAAAGTCGTTTGGTCAAGCTCCCAAAGCAACAATGGCCGTGCCAGCACCAAGCTTGCACTGTAGGTCAACTTGCCCGTCAAGGCGACGGATACATCTGAGAACATATCAGTCTCGCAGATGACAAGACCTCGGTCACGCAAGCCTTCCAGTGCAACAGCATCGAAGTGTTCAAGGTCTGTGGCATACACAGCAGATTCAATGCCGATGGCCCTTGCTCGCAGCAACTCTTTGATAGCTTGCATTTCTCGGTCGCTACACGGAGCACCGTAGACCTGCAGCACCGCAGAGTCGTCCGCATTCTGCACGACATGGGCAGGGGGGTGCAGGATGTCGAGGGCATCTTCCACATGCGGATCCGGAGGCGGTCGACTCAACAAGCAGGCAGGATCGCTGTCTAAGACAATCTCTGGAAGTTTCTGCACTTGCGGCTCCTGCAGCAAACCTGGCTGCGTGGACTCGTCTCCCAGAGCCAAGGCCAGTTCCGCAGGCATAGCACGCCAGAGCAAACAGTTTGCACAAAAGGCTTTCAAGTTCTCTGCTGTGCACACCCGTGCCAAGTCGAGAACCTCGATCCGCACATTCGTGCACGCCACCCGCACATCTCCACCAAGGCCGTGCACGCCCTGGGAAACATCCACGTCGTGGAAACGCTGCACAACCACACAGCTGCGGCGGCCTAGCTTCGGGTCTGTGATGTGTGCAGCAGGTCGCGAAACACGAGCATCCGTTCTTGCTTCTGGCCTGGCATCCAGCACCGAGCAGAAAACCGAAGCACGATCACTTACCCGAGGGTGGACGTCGGCTCGCAGAATAGACAGCAGCACGTCGGTTCTGAAGGATGCGGCTGGGTCTTCACATCTCCGACCCCTGTCGACAAGTAGCTCAAAGACATGCGTGGACACACTGAAAAACACGCCCGTCGCCAAATGGCCTTTCAGCCAGTTCACTACCTGGTGGGAAGCACTCGGAAGCTTGAAGCTTCCGGCCAGTAACAAAGTCTGATCTCTCAAAGTTTGGCGGTAAACGGCATCAGCACGAACAGAGTCCTCGCAATCTTTGAAGTGGTCTTCCTCGCTATACCCGTACAAGCGGGAAAGCCTCTTTGGCGTGTCCATAAGTCGAACCTCTTCGTGAGTGAGCATGTGCTCCAGCAGGCTACTCCAAAGGCGCCTGCTGCGCCAATTGTTGACCAAGAAAGCGAGCTGTTTCTCATCTTCCAGCATCTCCAACACTTGATCTCTGCGCTTGCGGCTGCAGACAACTGCAGGCCCAGCCTTTGTGAGACCACGGTTTGCTGCAACCTTGACACCGACATGCTCTCTCTCCGTGTGTCGCTCGGACAAAGAAACAAAGGCATATTCCTGTACTCTCCAAAACAACGCTGGCCATCGATCAAGGGGCACGTCATCCTCCGAGTTCAGAAACTCTCGGAGCATGCGGCCTGTGTCGGTTGGTCCAAACAAAGCATGTGTAACAGAGTCTAGAGCGCCGACTTGGCCACTGGAGATCATGTTGTCAACGTTCTGAAGATGTGGCCGAAGAACCTTTTTCACTCGGCCCCAAGTCTCGCCCATATACCCCGCAAACGCTGCGGCAAACACCCATGGTACTTGCTGAGCATACGCAAGCTTTTGCTGGATAACGGCAACAAATACTTTGTTGCACGTGTCCGCCATGTGCGCCATCCGACTTGCAGTTTCACTAGAACGAGACAAGAGATGCGCAAGAACACTAATCTCGTTGTTTGTCATGGCATCTTGCAAAGCTCCCTGGAGATTACCAACCGCAAGCCAAGGCAAGCGCCTGCCTTTCCAACAACAGTTTATCTTTTCCCGGTTTTCTGGGTCTGTCAGCTGCTCCTGATGGCAGTGACAACCCTCGAAAAAGTGGGCCAGCCTGGTGGCCTCGGCAGAGAACTGATGCGTCCACACTGCCATGTCGAAATGGCACTCGTCTGCCAACGCTTCCGTCACAGCTCGAATTGTGACTGACGAGCTGTCCCCACCAAAAACAGCTGGGTTCCAATATTTCTTGAAGGTGGGATATAGAGGAACCCAAACCTTCAGCACTCTTGCGAGCGAATCCCACCTCCAGTCTAAGAGGTCATCCATCCGATGCAACAACCGTCTCTCCTCGGGGCTCGCATGCTTCATCATTCTCACAAGAATTACTTCTGAGTAACTCTTTTCTTTGCACACACGGGTGATGCTGTTCAACTGTTTCTCGAATTTTTGCCAGGTTTCAAGCTGCTTCAAGCTGAATTCCAGTGCGTTAAACACTATGTGTAGTGTTCCCGGTATGTGTAGAGCGGAATGAAAGAGCGGCAATTCACGAAAATCCTCCTGTATTGCCTCGCTCGCCAAAGCTTGAGCGCCCACAATACTCTGGACCTCAGAGCAACTGCGGACTGGAAACGATGCTATGCCTCGCTCCGTTCCTTGATCGATTAAGAAGCCCCGAACTTCCGAACGATACGTCTCAAAGAGAGACGCACCACTCTCAACGGCAATCATATGTACCATCTTGCTTGCCTTCGAAGCTGTGCTTCCTTGTCCTCTCGCAATTGTTGTACACAACATCGAACGCCTCTGGTGTTCAAACCCTTTGAAAGGAGCTACATTTCCACCCGCATCCCTTGGAAGCTCGTCGGAACGATAGAGCAGCAACTCTTCTGTCGCACAAAAATAATCATAATTCGCTTGCGGGGAACTGTCAGGACTGATGTACCTGACAATTCGCAGCGACTTGTCTGCCCCACCACCTGGTGGGGCAAGGAACCGGCGAGACAAGGAATGCAAGGCATCAAGCTTTAGCAAGATATTCCGCACATGCCCATGCGACACTTTCATGTTGTCTGCAGACCTAAACTATCTGGCACTAACATTCGAAGGACGGTGCGAACCACATCTTGAATGCCTACCGTTGAGCTGAGCTTGTAAGCGAGCTTTCCCAACAGGATTTCTTGCATGGCCGGCCTGCGCACTTTCTTCATCTCGCAGGAGGAAGAGGAACCACTGTCGGCACCATCACTGGGGCTTCCTTCTGCCGCAGCAGGAACGGTTCCGGGCAACTGGTGCCCCAAAGAAGTCACAAGCCCACCAGGAACCACGAACTCCTTGCCTATCTCCATCAAATGCTTCATGACAGTTGGTGGCAAGCGAACCATCCAGAAAGGACGCCCTAGGTAACGCCTCGCAGTGCCTACTTCAGGCTCCGCCGCCTGTCCGTCTGCAAAGCAAGTGTAAAGGCCCTGGCGATCTGCAACGGCTTCGAAGATGACGCTTGGCGCAGCAGCTTGAAAAACCCATTGCGCTTGCCCTGCAGGCAAAACCGCCAACCTGCCAGCCAAGGCGGGCATCGCAGGAACAGGAGTCACCGCACCCTGGTTAGCAGCTGCAGGTGCCCGGCACCAGGCACCTGCCACTGCAGCCTGGGCAGGCCCCAACTGGACAGCTGCCCTGAAACGAAAAAGAGACTTCAAACAGCACTTGAACATCTGGTTTCGGGTTGTCTGGTTCTGGAGGGACATCTGCTTAGCGGCGAAATCTCGATCGCGACGTTTCTGATGCCGAGCTCGCCAAGTATCTTGCTGCTGCAAGTGCTCTTGGGCACCCAACGGCTTGATGCATTTTCCCCCAAGCTCAGCAACACAAAACAAATAATTCCCTGCAGCAGCGGTGCCCAGAGATTCTGATTCGTCGCCACAGGTTTTCGCATACAGAAACAAAACCTCTGCACGGGAAGCATTTCGAAGTCTGTCCCTATATCGAACAGTCTTCAGGGCACCTGCAGACCTGGGAGGCCTGGGAGCTTCCTCGGCCTCTGACTCGGACTCTCTGTCCTCAAGCTCACCGTCCCCAGGATCTGGAAGCCTAAAGATGGCAGGCTCTGCCATAGCACTATGACACTACACAACGAAAAGATCTGGCTTATCTTGGCTTATCCAATGTAACACCTCAAGCAAGCTAGGCTATGCCTACTGCCTACGTCCTCTTGCAAGATTGGATGATAAGTTGTCAAGCTGTCACTGTCACGTGAGTCATGTGCCTGAACTGTGCTGCGATTCGGATTCCCAATCATAAAACAGCCGACAAAGTCAGGAAGATATGCTTGCTTGCGGTTTGCAGTTTGGGTTGGCTACATCACAAGTTGTAGGTTTGTAGCTTTCACGACGATTTTGTTCCAAAACGTGCCGCGTTTTCTTGGGAAGGGACGATACTTGTTTGGAGAGGCTGTTGTTCTTGCGCTGACTGATCGATGGAAAAATAATCAAACCCTACTACAACAAATCATTTTCAAGTCCAGGGCTTGGAACCCATGCTCCAAATGCCCTGAACCCTCTTGCGGGTCACGCCCCCCGGGCCTAGATGAATCACTTATAGCCGCACCATCCAGGATTGCCAGCTCCTCGCTGCTGAGGTTTGGCGGGTCCTCGGCTGTCTCCGGGCCGTCGTCAGCCACCTCCGCCTCGATCTCGGGGCCGTGTTCGGCCCACTCCGCGTCCACTGTCTCGACCATTCTGATCGAGCGGCTCCCGTCTCCACTGTCGCTGCCGCTGCTCTGGCTGCCCTTGGCCATCTCCTCCGCTTGCGCTTTTCGACTGCTCCGGTCGACGCCGGCTCGGCTTCTGCCTTTCGCTTTGGCGGGCTGCCCGGCAGCTTGCCATCCACGAAGGAAACGACGGGCTGTAGGGAGTGAACGGCTCGGCTTCCTCAGCTTTCCTTTTCCCTCCGGCTCGCGGGAGTCGTCGGTGATCTCGGCGGGGTTGCTGGAGCCAACTCCTCTGAGCTGCCGCCGTCCGCCCGGTCACGGGCTGCCTTCTCCACTTGCTCGGCCTCACTGTCCTCTGGCAGAAGAGAAGGAGCTCCAAGAGGCAAAGAAACTCCAGGCTGAAGCGGGTTCCGTTGTCTCGCGCTTCTTTCGGCGGGCCGGCTTCTCGACGAAGTCCTTGTTCCAAGGCCAGCCAACGAAGCCACCCTCCTTGATCTGGTCGGCCGTCAGCTGCTGGTCCGCCGCCGCTGTGGGGGTTCATCCCCACCCAGATCGCTTTTACCCATCTGGGTTCCGCTTTGTTGGTCCGGAAGACCTGGCCGTAGACGGTGTCCCCGAACTCGCACAGTTTCTGACAGTTTCTGGTCGAACCGCTTCCCCCCGAACGCGATCTCGTACGGGGTCTGTTGTGCACGAACGCTGCGTGCACCTGGCTCCACAGCTTCAGCGGTGTGTCCGGCGCCAGCTTCCCCTTCTGCAGCTCGAAGCCCAGCAGCATGCAGGCCCCAAGGCGCTTGATGGTCTGCACCGTGCGCTCTGCCGGTCGATTGGACTGCACGGTCTTTCGGCCTAGTCTGGCCCTTGCTGCGGCAACGGCCCGCACGACCGCCTTGATGGCGGGCTCTCCGTCCGATTGGACGATAATCGCCTGCTCCTGGTGCAGCGCCAGGGTGAACCTGACGATCTCCTCGGTCGCCTTTGCCAGGATAACTGCGCCGTGTTGGGCCCAGGCACTGCCAAAACCATCTTGGTGTCCAGGTCGACGCCGATAAGTATGCAGTTCTCCTGCTCGCCTTCGGGGTTTGGCCTCTCGCCGCCTTCCTCCAGCGAGGCAAAGTAGAAGTCGACCTGTAGAATCGGAAGCCTCGCCTCCCTGTTGGCTCCTTGGCTGTGCCTGTCGCCGCGGCTTCTCGTGCGGACGCAGGCCTCGCACCAACTCGCAAAAGGCATGTGCGTGAGGTTGTGGAGGGCAACTGCTGCATCATCTGGGGCACCTTCTGGCTGTCCTCGTGGTACTGGGTCTCGCCGGTCTATGCCCTCCACCGCCTGCGCTGCATTGGCCGCCACATAGTCCTCCAACTCGTGTTGCTCGAGCCCTGCCGGGGCTCCGGGAAGACCCTGTGCGTCACCTGGCTCGCCTGTGCCCATGTCATCGTCTGGGCTGCCGGGTCGTTCTGCTGGTTCTCCTTGGCGTTCTGCGGGTCGTTCTGCTGCTTCTCCTTAACGTTCTGCGGGTCGTTCTGCTGGTTCTCCTCGGTGTTCTACGCGTCGTTCTGCTGGTTTTCCTCGGTGTTCTGCGGGTCGTTCTGCTGGTCCTCCTCGGTGTTCTGCGGGTCGTTCTGCCTGTTCTTCTTGCGGTGGCTCCGGTGTGGTCGGCGGATGTGGCTGTGGGTGGCTCTCGACCACCAGCTCGCTTGGCTTGGGGGCCACCCCTCCTTCTGGAAAGAAACCCTCCTCGAAGGCGTCCATGCCGATCAGCGTGATCCTCGGCTTGCGCGTCTTGGTCACCATAGTAAAAGGGTTCTTCTCGCACAGGTAGTTGGCCGAGTTTTCCACCTGGAGCCAAAACCCACCACTGGTGCGGTAGAGCGTGGTCCGGGCCTTGTAGAGGGTTGCGTCGTACCACGGCCGGGGGTCAAGGCCGCCTGGTAGTGCATCTTGATGCCATTCCCCAGCGTGTGCATGCCCTCGTTCCCGAATCTCCGCCGAAATGGTCACCTTGGGCACCTTTGCCCTTGGGACAGTCCCGGTCTCCCACCACAGTTGTAGCAGCCGCCCAGTGCCTTCTTGCCCTTGCCACCTTTTTCCTTGCCCTTTCCTTTTCCTTTCTCTCCCTTCTTCCCTTTCTGGCCTCCTTGCTTGCCTCCCTTGTGGCCGCCCTTGCCCTTCTCCACGCGGTCGATCTCCATGTCGGTGGGGCCGCCCTGGTTGAGCGCGCCCTGGGTGGTCACGGCCGGGAGGGCGAAGCCGGAAGAAGGTTGCCAGCGCGTGCTGGACCTCTCGTAGGCCAACAGCTTCTCGCGGATGGCCTTGTAGTCGGTGCTCTCGTCCATCGTCAGGTGGAGCTGGGTCTGCAAGTTGGTGGGGGCAGCCTGGATGACAGAGCTTATGCGCAGATCGTCGGGGTAGGTGCCGCCAGACACCCGCTCATACTCCTTGATGAGCTCCTCGTACTTCACGATCTGCTCGGCCAGGCTGCGGTTCGCATCGAACCGGATGCCGGCCAACTGTGACATTAAAGCCAGTTGTCGCTGACGCGTGGCCGGCTGCATTTCTCCCAAAACCCTCCGGGCTTCAAACCATTGTTGGAGGGAACCCCTCTCACAAGCTTTGCCGGTCTCTGCCTCACAAAGGAAAGCAGAATGGCATAGAGCTCGATGCAACCTTGCGCACCGCAGCGTCCATTCCATCCACTGTTGAGGGCCTTGTCGCTCGATGGTCTCCATGTCCTCGACTTCTTGCTCGCGGGTGTCCGGCCGGAATATATCCGGCTTCTGTATCAGCGTGCGAAGCACATCGCTTCGCCGGTAGCTCTCCGGAGTCTCCAGCACGGCCTGCGCCGCTTGCGCTGCGGCCGCAGCCGCCGTGGCTGCTCCAGCCGACATCTTGCAAAGGACGAGCCCTGGCTCCCAGTCAGGTCGGCATTGTAGTCGGAGAGGTCCTCGGTCGCCTCGGTCACAAAGTCAAGGCAGAAGGTGGAGCGCAGGCCGGCCGCCGCAGCAGCCGCCTCAGCTGCCCAGGGCAGCTCCACAGAAGCACGGCACGCGAGGGGCTATGAAGCTCAAGGCTCGCGCTTTCCTAAGGCACTTTGCCTCGGTCGGGGCCCTACAGTGGGGATTCGGGTCCTGTCCCCTGACGCTGGAGCCGCACACCTGAGATTCCAGAAATCAGGATCGTAGCGGCTCCTACCATGTAAAAGCACAATATGTGCTCGGCACTTTTGCTCCGAAAGGGCTTTGGTCAGTTCGCGTTTCTTGCCGCTGCACTCTTTGCAATGGCACTGTACTCAACACTCAAGAGGGAGCAGAGACGTGTCTGGCATGATTTACAGATCGGCACACGAAGCTCGAGCAACCCTCACCGATTCTGCAACAGCTGCCCCTTCCTCTAAGGATGTTTTCTCAATGAAATCAATGAGAGCTAGCGCAACCGAACGCGTGACCCGGGGGCAACCAGCTTGGATGACCGCAGGGACGGCAACACCTTGAGGATCAAGGAGCAAGAATGCCCTCCGGGACCAAGTGATCTTGAAACCGCACTTGATTAAGTGTCTGGCCGAGACTATCGGTTCAATCTGTTGTGATGTCAACAGCGTACCCGCCTGATTGACCTCAACTTCGGCCTCACCCTGAGCAAGCGACACCACACGAACCCCAACAACGACATCTCCATCTACCTTGGCGCGCATACAAGCAGACGCACCTGAGTCTATCAGTGTATCAGGCCCGTGGGCTCATTGCTACCTGGCCTACCTCCGTAGCCGTCACCTACAGTTTTTATGGAGGTTTGCAGGGTCTCGATCATGGCTGCGGCTTTCTTGAGAATGTCTTCAGGTTCCGTGGCGGGGGCCTGGCTAGAGGACTGACTAGGTGGCATGGGATTGTTGGAAGCAGGAGCCGAGGCCTGAGCGCTAGCCTTTGCTATCGTTTCACCTCCCTTTCCTTTTCCTTTCGGATTCTCTGAAGCACGTCCGCCCTTAGACTGATAAGGGCATTCCGATCGCATATGATTGAGCGCGGAGCAAGCAAAGCATCGGAAGGGAGCAATGGCTCATGAGCAAACTTACAGGTCTTAGCGAACCTGCAACCCTTGTCGGTTCTCCAATGTTTGCAGATCTCCTTACCCTTGCCCTCGGTGCCCTTCGGAGCGTCATCTCTAGATTTACCCTTCCCTTTGGCATCGTTGTCCTCAACCTTCGCAATCCTCAAACGCTTACCGGCATCTGCATCCCCGTCCGGCTTCGTCTTAGACCGAACTGTACCTGAAGCCACCAAGGTCTCAAGTTCACCCTGAACGAACTTCACCAACTCCACAACCTTGGTCTCAGTAGGCTGGTGATCTATGCTCTTCGCGAATCGGTAGGACGAAATCCTAAATTGTGATTCCGGGTACAATGCCAACGCCTTGGACACCATCATGTCCACACCTCCTAACAGTAAGGTAGGATCAGGAGTAGAGATGTGCAGTTCTGCTGCTCTGTGCTTCCACCTTGACCACCGTTTAATGCTGCGAAGTGCGGCTACTGGTTCCGTGCAACCGTCAGGGTTCGTGAGATAGCGCAACAACGCAGAACGTTCCTTCAGCCCACCTGGCTGGTAGGTTGTGTGAATCAAGGCTAAGAGATCGATGCAGGACAACTTCCGATTTGCACCCAACTCTTCCTTGATTACTGTAGGCACGGCACGCAACAGCATCGTCAAAGCTCTCTGCTCAACACGTGCATACTTGGTGTGTTCAAAACGATATGGTTGCGAAGGTTGCAATGAAAGCCGAGCTACCGGGTCACACATCAACCAGTGCTGATAGTAAGAGGTTGCTGCATCCACAACCTGGGACCACCATATGCTGCTCGTGGACGAAATATCCTTCATGGCAGGGCTAATCATCGCCAACCAATCCCCCCACAGAAGAGGAGCCAAGTCCCTTTCATGTTCCTTGATTTCCAGCTTTGGCAACTCTGAAACTGACACCCTGACATCCTCGGCGCGCTCACTGACCTCAGTGGAAGAGCCCGACAAGCCAAGCACACTTTTCAACCATTCCAACCCCTCACCAACCCTCTGTTTAGGAGACTTACTTCCTCCTGGGCTCTGCCTTGCCCCAATGGCAGCAGTAGCAACCCCCCTTTGACGAGGTGGCGTAGTAGGAGGAGGAAGAGGCGGAGGCAAGATCTCCGTTCCGCCTGGTGGGGTCGGGTACCCACGGTGAGACATAGAGCGCATCCCTCCTTGGACAGACGATCCCCGTACCGGACTCGTGCTTGGACGACCTTGTCCCGAAGTCAAACACCCGCTTTCGCCGACATTTGGCCTAGCAACTTGACTATGGGAGTACTCTAGAGCACCACCCACAATGGAACGAGCTGGGCCTCTGTGAGCCTGGGCTTCCAAGGATCCTAAAGGCCGAGCTTCCCCACCGCCCGTTTCATCACACAAGGCCCGCTGAGGGACAGGTTCGCTCACACGGATCTGCGCATGCTGCGGCTCCAAAGCCGGGAGTTCTGCATTTCCTACGACATGATGACTCGCAGGACCCTCGTGCAACACTGGCTTGAAACGGGATTTGGCCTTTGGACTACATACGTGTACGAGTGAGCTTGCAGCACTCTGCCCTCCCAGCTGGGGTGTTCTGGCCTCAGAGACCAACGCCGTGTTCATTGGACGGGAAACCCCTTGAGACAAAGCGCCTACTCCCTCACAATGACTAGCTCTCCCACTCTCCGCTGGCACAGCCGGGTGCTTCCGCGGTTCTCCCCTGCCCAGCAAATGAAGCCCCCTCAATCTCCCCCGCACCCATGCCCCCTTCAGCACCCGAAGTAGCTACACCCACGTCAGCCCTGCCGGTACTGCCGATCGGATTTGATTGCCTCAGATGCTCAGGCAAGCGAGGGGGTGGACAGTGCGAAGGGAACTGCCACCGGCGTTGGGAACTGCTGCCGATTCAGTTCGGCCACCATTTCTGATGACAGTCCTCCTCCAAATCCTGAGGCTGCTGTCCCAAAGCCCATTGCACCACTACAAGCACCCATGACACCACTGCCCAATCCAGCGTCCGAGGGAAAAATTCCAGGCGGCGCAGCAGTAAGTCGTGGCTCTGCTCTCACCGAGTCTTGAGACATTGGTCCCCTAGAACTTTCGATCCGCTCCAACCTTTCTGCAAGCAGTCTCTGGTTCTGAATCACCGGTGCCAACTGTTCGGCCAACAAGCCCTGAAGCACGCCAGACAGCGAATCCAAAGGACCTGACCCACTGCCCGTGGCCTCGTGAGACGGCGCTACACGACCAGTCCAGGAAGAAGGAACAGCTGGATGCTCCGGCAGCTGCGAATAATCCGGAATCAGCTCTACATCGTCCACTTCCATGCGCATACCCCCACTGCCAGATGGCATACGAGCGGGCGCAGACGTTGGACCCGCTTCTCCCACTCTAGCCACCACCGGCCCCGCAAGAGAACCCACATCAGCCGGATCACGCGAGCTAGCTGATTGCCTCGCTGTTTCCTCCGACCCCTCTGAACGTTCTTCATTCAGTAGCTCCCTTGCTTCTGCATCTAGTCCCATTTCTCCAGGCAGACGATAATCGGGCTCAAATGCCTGACTCGCCGTCCCAGCACCACTCAACAACTGCTCCTCCGGAGATGGCCGATCCAGGCCACTCGGAACATCTGACTCGTTTGGATTCTCCATCACTCACAGAGCGTAGCTTGGGCTCATGACCATGAGACAACTTGGAGCACTACTTTATCCACCGCACAGGCTCAACGCAACACAAAAGCAGTCTGTCTGTACATAACTTCACAAAATTTTCTTGTTGCTGCTGATACTGGCCATACGGTCCGATCAACTGGAATGTTGAAGAGCTTTAGCGGTTTGACTCGTCTGATAAGTTGCAAACTGATACTGTCCTTCTGGCTACGTGCAGTGCAACCTGAGCCTGAGCCTTCAAGAGCTGCTGGATCTCCGCCCAACACTCTGGCGACTCCCAGACGATGAGGTGCGGTGGAACCGCTCAGGGTTTGCGGTTTGCGGTCTTGGTTTGGAACTCAAACTTTCGGGTTTGGGCTCAAGCTTTGGGGTTTCTAGGACGAAGGACCGTGGCCAAGTTTTCCGGTAAATAATTGCTTGAATTTTTTCCGTGAAAACCGCCCTGCGTGCCCTGTGTAATTGAGGTGAGGGATGAGGGTTTAGGGCAAGTTTAGGTATGCCTATCAACTTCAAAAATCAGTAAAAAGAGTTTGTCCCCTTCTTCTTTTTTTTTCTCGCTCAGCTCCGCCATACAAGTATTACAAAAGCGTTCGCGGGGCTCTGCATTTAACGTTCATGTATTGTTTTTTGCAATAATTTATGCAATATCTTAATCAAAAAAATTTGATGGTGGTTTCCCGTAGTTCGGTATGTATGTATTAAGTTTGCTTCTATGTTGTCTTATAAACTTGGCTTCCTTGTCCAACAAATCTTCTTTATTAATATCTGTAAACTCCTCCAACAATTCTATATAAAAGCAATCGGTGCCTAATTCTCGCATACACATGTAAAGCTTCGTATTCAATAACATTCGCGCGGCGTGTTTGTGCCCGACTAGTCTTTTGTCTATCGTCTGTCGTGTTGAGCCTATGTAAGTTAAATCATTCTTTGTGTTTTTAAGAATATATATTCGTCCTTGATTTTGTTTATTACCGGTCATTACCTATAAATATAAGTTGTTGTTTCTTTAAGCCGGATACAAAAGCGTTCGGGCCGTGCCCCGCCTCACAAGTTTATTTACTAATTTATGTAAAGTTTTATCTAATAATTTATTTAATAACTTACATCAAACATTTTACAAAAGCGTTCGGGCCGTGCCCGCCTCACAAGTTTATTTAATAATTTATGTAATAATTTATTTAATAATTTACATAAATTATTTACAAAGCGTTCGGGCCGTGCCCCGCATCACAAGTTTATTTAATAATTTACAAAAAATATTTTACAAAAGCGTTCGGGCCGTGCTCCGCATCACAAATTTATTTAATAATTTATGTAATAATTTATGTAATAATTTATGTAATAAATTACATAAAGTATTTTTAAAAAACAATATGTTGAAACTGATACAAAAGCGTTCGGGCCGTGCCCCGCATTACACGTTTATTTAATAATTTATTTAATAATTTATTTAATAAATTTTACAAAAGCGTTCGGGCCGTGCTCCGCATCACAAGTCTATTTGATAATTTATGTAATAATTTACAAAAAATATTTTATAAACAATATGTTGAAACTGATACAAAAGCGTTCGGGCCGTGCTCCGCATCACAAGTCTATTTGATAATTTATTTAATAATTTATTTAATAATTTATTTAATAAATTTTACAAAAGCGTTCGGGCCGTGCTCCGCATCACAAGTCTATTTGATAATTTATGTAATTATTTTTTTAACAAATTACATAAATATCTTTTATAAACAATATGTTGAAACTGATACAAAAACGTTCGGGGGGGGGCTATATTATACGTTTATGTAATAATTTTTTGTAATAATTTATGTAATAATTATTGTAATAATTTTTGTTTCAATTTTTGTAATAATTTATGTAATAATTCATGTGTTAATGTATTTAAATAAGGTTAAAATGATGGCTGGTGTCATAATATGTATAGTCGTATCTATCTAACTGTTATGATATGCTAGGTTAGCCATTCTAGACCATAACTTAGATATATAGTACAAAAAATATTTTTCAAAAAATATTTTTTAAAATTTTTTTTAATTTAACTTGGTTTTTGACCAGCATACTGTCATACCTGTAATATAGTTAACTGTTTTATTATATATTTTAAATAAGTATAATATATATAATAATAATATAATAATAATATATATGTATTTAGTTAGTTGTTATGATATGCTAGGTTATATGCTAGGTAATATACCAAGTTATATATAAATGTTGTTATATAGATAAGGTAAATAAGTTGTATTATGACGGTCTATATTTACGTATGTATATAATGTCTGTATATAATACAATCATAATATAATAATATATTATGGTGGTATTTCCATTTACAGAACAAGTTGAGGGCAAAAGTTAAGGTGTTTCTTGCTGTTCTTGTGCTGTTGCTGTTCAAAAGTAATTTTCAATATTTCATTAAAATCCTTTATGGTTCTTTCAATACTTAACTTTGTTCTTATCATAATGTAGTCCCTTATGAACTTTTTAATGTCTTGTTGTTCATGGTTATATAACAAACTATGATGAATATTATACATAACATCATATCGTTTTTCACTTATTTTCTTTTTTGTTTTTAGATATTCAAAACTTGGTAACTTATAAACAACAAGAAAACAAATAATATCATCTTCAATATTTCGGCGGTTAAATCTACTCTGAGTAACATGACAACCCATTAAGCGTAACCTGTTATTCCATACTGTCACTTCAGCATCTGTAGGTTTGTTATGATTGTATTTTATTATTGTATTTATAATATTGCATGGTAAATTTAATTTGTATAGTTCCATGTTTTTTTTACAGAACCATTCGCTTTTAAGTTGCTGTTCAATATATTCTCTGATTTCTTCATATGTTTTTGTCATTGTTCTACAATACTTGAATAAGTCAATATTTCTTTAAGACATTTTTAATACAATAATAATATAACTAAATATTATAATTGTATTTTGGTTAATAATACTTTTTAGTTTCATTATTATATTTAATATCAAACTTTTCCAGTGTGCTTTCTTTGACATTTGTTTGCCTACCTGAATTCAACTTGAAAATAGTATCGTATCGTCGTTTTTTCCATTCTTTCGTTTGTGATGCCTCGCCTTTAAAATCTTTAAACTTATCTTCTGCATCCTTCACTTGATTTTTTAGTGTTTCATTTTCGTCGTTTAATCGTGCTACTTGTGCTTCTAACTGTTCAATTCTATCATCTTTTGCTTTATCGGTTTTTGTTTGTTCCACGACAAGCAAATATTTATGTTGAGCGGTCCGTACGTCATGTCGCATTTTCTGAGCCATCGCTTCTTTTTCTTTCCAAGTTAAATTAAACTTATTGTAAAAATGACTTATATAAACAGACCGCATTGTATCAATATCTAGGCCCTCAACTTTTGTTATTTCTCTCAAATATTTTAAAAGGGTTTCGTCTTGAATGGGTTTACCGTTGTTTTCAAACAAATATGTTCGCGGGTAATTCTCATAAGAATAATATATTAAATCAATTAAATCTCTGTCTTCAACGTCAACAAAGTTTCTTTGTATATCTTCTTTATAAAACTTTGAATTACTTACTTTATCACGACCTACATAAA